TGCCAGGAGAATCAGGATGACCTTAAAAGAAAAATCTGTCATTTGCTCACCCAATGTTGTTCCAAATCCTGCTTTTCTAGTAAAGAATGTTAATTTTGATGAACAGATCAAATGTTTAGTCTTTATTCTCTAATAAACCTGCCCTCCACTGTAGCTTTTAAGTGAAATATAATTCCTTTGGGACATCATGTCAGGTTGGATATCAATGAGATAATCAAACATTATTGGTTCTTGCGGCACATCACATGACCAAACATTATTGACATCAAACTTGGCACCATGTTTGTTTTAATAGCTACGACAGAAGACAAATTATTTAAATTTGAGTCTGTTTGTAATGTTATCATATGGTTTAAAAATAACTGGAATATAGTGCATGAATTACATAGACTACTTTTATACTGTCCATTTATGATGTTTTTGAGACTTATATGCTATGGTTCAATCATTTTGGGTCAGCAATTAACAGTTTTACTCAGCAAGTGATTTATTAAATTGATGAAAAGTGACAGGAAAGATTGATTATTATGATTTTTTTTGTTTAAATAAATGCAGCCTTGCTGAGTAGAATTTAATGACCCCAATTTTTTTTTTTATGTAGTGTATATGGGAAGAGCTCTCAAAAACTCTCCTTATGTATTCCAGGCCAAATAACAGCTTATGGGCTTGAAACATTAGGATTATTAAATATGACATTTTTATGCTTAAAAGGGGGCACATAGACTACTTTTATACTGTCCATTTATGATGTTTTTGAGACTTATATGCTATGGTTCAATCATTTTGGGTCAGCAATGAACAGTTTTACTCGGCAAGTGATTTATTAAATTGATGAAAAGTGACAGGAAAGATTGATTATTATGATTTTTTTTGTTTAAATAAATGCAGCCTTGCTGAGTAGAATTTAATGACCCCAATTTTTTTTTAATGTAGTGTATATGGGAAGAGCTCTCAAAAACTCTCCTTATGTATTCCAGGCCAAATAACAGCTTATGGGCTTGAAACATTAGGATTATTAAATATGACATTTTTATGCTTAAAAGGGGGATGTCATAAGTTATTGGTTAAAATGACTGTTGCAGTTGAAATAGATTTGCTTTCACCACAGGTATTTGGTCTGAAGAAGGCATTCAGTTTGAAGATATATTGTCAGAGCGAAGGGAAATATTGTTCTTGCATGTACACATTTGTTTTTACACTGTCACTAACAGCCTGACAATTGCAGTAACTGTCTGCTCTCTGTGTGCAAAAACGAAGGAGTCGGACAGTTTCCTGGCAGTTGACGAGTATCCAGATGGTTTCACTGTTTGAGGTCTACTCATTCATCCCTCTTGCAACCTTTTCTATCTTTTATTTTTTTTTTTTACCTTTCTTTATCACGTTTTCACTGTTCATCTCAGCGTCTCTCATCTCTCCCACACTGCCACAGATGGCCAACTTCACTGTCTCTGTATGGGAGACTGTAATAATCTGTTTCTGTTCCAAAGTCTTAAAACTCTCCGTTGCATGACATACACTTTACTGTGGAGTGGTGCGTAAAATAATAATAATTAAATAAAAGGATTTTATTTAAGACTCATCTGTGGCAACTTATAACTGCAGGAAAAGAGAACTATATATTTGTATGATGAACTAGATATAGGCATGAGTAAATACATTATAAAATATATTAAAATGGATAAATGTATTAATATACTATTTGACATGCATTAATATAATAATTAAAATGTAATTTATTTCTTTGATTTCTGTGAAGACTTACTCCAATCTTCTGGGTTATGTGATCCTTCAGAAATCATTCTAATATGCTGCTTTGGTGCTCAAGAAACATTTCTTCTTATCAATGTTGAAAACAGTTGTGCTGTTTATTTTTTTTTGTTTTGTAGAACCTGGCACATTCTTTCATTTAGAAATGGGAAGTACTTGGTTGATATTTGAATAGACAAACTTTCATAAATGTTTTGTATAATGTATAGTTTTTATCATTATTTCCGATTCTGTTTTTATATGAATTTGTGTGTCTGTGTATGTGCACTTATCTTTTCAAGCCTTATGTAATGGCACATACTGTGAAGCAGTGTTTGGTTGAGTAACCGCTTTGTCTTTATGCAGTGTCCAGCATGGTCTGGAGACCACCAGCTCTCGCAGGCAACAACACTTTTGTTCACTAAACGACCAAGGAATGTGTCTGACATCTCACATTAAATCGCACTTGCTTTTCTGCCAGCACATATCTCTGATTTCCAGTTCTTTCTTGTAAACTGTTTCAAAAAGTCTAAAAACTGCATCCAAATTTGCCTGTTTGAAGTTGATATAGGCACAAACTTCCCATGGCTGACACTAAAAGTGTGAAAAATACTAAAGGTGTCAGAAGAAGTAATTTAAGCCAGACGCATGACAGTGTGTCATTAGTAAATAACAGCAATTGAATAGTTTATCTGTAGCGCTGTGTGTTTAAAGTGCAGGAGCGCAGCTAGCATTATGGAGGTGATATTTATGTCTCGCCTGCTGCCATACCAGACCAACTGTATCATACTGTAGTATTGGACAGCTCGACTCAGATAACGGTAAACAAACACAAACTGTAATCAGAGTCATCCTGAGCTCTCTCTCTCTCTGTCACACACACACACACACACACACACACACACATGTAAATGACGGTCTACAGCAGCAGTAGGAAGGACTATCTCACTGTCTGTCTATGTAGTGGTTTTCCAGTGTCGACCAGTCGCCTGTAATGTTTGTTTTTAGTGCACTTGAAGGTTGTGCTAATAACAGCAAAACTGGGGGTGGAAAATTACATGTCTTATGTCATCTCAGCTGGTCTTCGGGGAATGGTTTAAACAGACCGTAGTATTTATTTTATTGTTTATTTTTAAATTCAGTCAATTTATGTATTTGTTCTGTAATAGTTTACGGAATCTCCATTTCAACCAAATAGTCATTGTTTCCTAGAAGAGCCAAAATGTTGTGTTTTCAAATTGAATTTTACTAAATGAACACAAGGAAGATTTTAATATCAGTATTCGTTTGAATTTGCACCAATATAACAATATGCAAAAATATTTTTATTAATTTAATAGTAAAAATTTATGAAAATAGCATGCAGAGACTTCTTTGAACATTTTTGTGTAATGCCATAAACCGTTGAATTGTTGAATTTATTCCCAGAAGTGAATCGAACTCGCCCCTTAAATATAAAGTAATTTTTGCTTCTGAATTTATGCTTCTGAATGATTCGCCCCAAAATGAAAATTCTGTCATTATTTATTCACCCTCATGAGAACAAGTGAGGGTTGTTCTTGTTCATCAAGCAGGCATGGCGTTTACCATGTTTGGTAAGATTAAAAAAAAAAAATTGTTCTGAAGATGAAGAGTCTTATGAGGGTGAGTAAATGTTGGCATAATTTATATTTTTGGAAGAACTATCCTTTTAGCTTTAACAGATGAATAAAAACCATTAAAATTGTGATATTCACAGTGTTGCTTGTTTAATATTGCTAGCAGAATTATTGTGAATATTGTATATATTGCCCAGCCCTTGTGACTCGTGGGATGAGTCATGCTTAGTCCAAAGTTTTGAGACTGTTGGAATGTTAAGCCATAGAGTCACACAAAACCCAGTATAAACTTCTGACTGACTGTTTAATCTCCTTTCAACACTCAATGTAAAGTGACCAATTATACCAATTTCATGTGTAACTGCCAGAATGTGTAAATTAATCGGCTTTGAGCTGATGTTTGGATTTGTGCTTCATTGTGGGACCTCGTATGACTGATTTCACTCCGAGGGTTTATTTTATCAGCTCTATTCGGAATGATAGCATATGGGCAGACGAAACCAGTCCCAGTTGGAATTTATTTAAAATATTGTAAATCCGAAAATGCTGTTTTAGGAATCGAAAACATGGTTAGATGCACTCGTGCCAAGAGCATGTGTTGCATGTAATTGACTGTAAATGTACTTACATGCTTGCGTTCACTAATGTAAGACATATGAGAGACATTGAAAACAATACTGGTCGATCTTCAGGACTGAGTGGTGTTGTCGGTGGAATTCAGAGGACCACAGCCTGCTGAGTACTGTTGAGTTATTGCTTATGAGATCTTGTTGAGGTTCTCGGCTTTGCTCTGGGAGGATCCTATGGGAGCCCAGCAGGCTACGGCTAGCTCAGCTCAGGGTTATATTTAGGTCATTTTAATCTGCAGGCCTGGGCCATGCTTTGATGTTGTCATTTTGAACCATATTGCACATCAGTGTAAATCCATTCTAATATACTGCTGCTTCTTCCCAATATCCTCCAAAGAGCTTTTGTTAAATAATAATTATTGCTTCAGTCTTTTAAGCTGGTCTCTTTGGAATTCCTCTGTTTGGACCGACGAGCATTCAAAAGGCTGGTGTCTGATTCACTCTTTGTGAATGCACATCATGGTGCGCTATGGCTGGCTGGGCTCTCATGCCCTTTAGGAGTTGTTTTTGAATTAAATAGCTGCATGAACTCATTAAAAGTTCTGCAAGTCATTTATAACAGAAAGTACATATTTTCTTTGTATTTAAAGATAAAGGAAGCAACTTATGAATCAAGATATGTGGAAAACTGCATTGTTTGTGTAGATAATACTGTTTTTCAAAGAAAGTGAAACATTTGACATGCTCTTTGTCAAAGTTTCGTCTCTCAGATGTTAAACCTTAAATGGATAGTTCACTCAAACATAAAAATTCTGTCGTTTACTCAACCTCATGCCGTTCCAAGCCTGCAAGCATATTTTGTAATCAAAAAACTTTGATACCCATTAACTTCTATTGTACATGTATTGAGACATGTTTCAAAATATTTTCTTCTATGATCCACAGATAAAAGTAACATATAAAGGTTTGGAATGACATGAGGGTGAGTAAATGGCGGTAAAATGTTCATTTTTAGATATAATCTCTATCCAAGTTTGAATTCAGGGTTCTTTTATATAATTGAGTTTTTAATGTGTCTGTTTGACAGAAATTGGAAGGGTACGGAAGGACATGTACAATGACACTCTGAACGGCAGCACAGATAAAAGGACTTCCGAGCTCCCGGATGCTGTGGGGCCCATTGCACAACTCCAAGAGAAACTCTACGTGCCTGTCAAAGAATACCCAGATGTAAGTATTACTTCAGCACTTTTCCAAAATAGAAACTTCATGAGTTTAATCCTTTGTTGGTCAGTTACTAAGACTTATTGTATAGATTTAATTTAAGTGTTCCCATATGTGTCCCAAATGCTTCCCAGTACCCTTAATGTTTTTCTTCAACTCATAGACTGTTGGGCAGTAGTTTACAGTTGAATCTCCATCAGTGTGGGTGCGTTTCTGTGGGTAAAGCAGGTGATTTATTGATAAGAACGAGTTCAGTCAAGTATGCACACAACATTAAGGCCAATAAAGCTGTTTTACAGCAGATTAGTATCTTAAAATAATCACAGCATTCATGGTATTTCTGGAATAATAATGTACAATCAGAAACTGCAATTTTACCTGCTGTAATGTGTTTATGAGGGCATACAATGCACCTTGACTAATGCATGTAAATAGAGAGAGACGTGTTAGTGTTAACACATGTTTTTGTAGATTACTCAGATGACAGAAAATTGGAAATTTGTCCATGAAAATGCGTTTATGACATGTGGATCCTCAGGGACTAATATTTAGTTGTTTTACACTTTGATTGTCTTACCTTAGACGTAGACACAGGGGAGCATGAGAATCCTGCAGCAGACTGATCCAATTAACTCGTCTCTGCCAGGACAGCAATAATCAAAAGACAATAATTAGCATGGTAAATATTGCTTAATACTGTGAGTCTATGCATTGTTTGACTCTCAGCCTGTGCTTCTTATTTGAATGCATCGTGACTGTTGAATCCTGTTTACAAGGGCCGCTTTCATACTATTCTCAGAAAACATAATTTATGCAGAAACCGTCATCAGGCCTGAGAGTGGATTACGAGAGGAGCCCAATCTGAAACATATTTTTATGTCAACTGAGCAAAGTGTTGGGACGTACGTTTTCAGTGTCCTGTTTATCTTGACCGTCTTTAGCATTGAGGTTGTGTTTAAGGAGACAGTAAGTAGACGGGCTGACAACTCTCACGTTTCTCCTGTCTTAAAGAGCTGATAAGAGTGATAGTAGGGTCCGGGTTAATCGAATTTGAATGGGAGGCGCGTAACAGGGGCTTCTCTATTTTCTATTATCTCTCATTTAGTTATAATTAACCTCTGTGCATTGTCTACTATATCAGGACAAATCCCAACCAACTACTGACAGCACTACATACTTTTAAAACAACACGAAATTAACTTGTTTTAAAAGTATGTAGAAGAAATCGGAAGCTCTAAAATGCAATACATCTCATTCTGATGCTGTTCTTGCATCAAGTAAACACATTTTGAAGGAAGAAAAGCTTTTGAATAGATTAGCCTGATAGATGACAACACACAGTAACTTCTGATCTGGTATCTACTGTCTAGTGTATTAAAATGTGATACATTTTGACAACCTGCTCAGAATTTCCCATTGTTGAGTGACTCATTGAGGTCACAAACTTCATAATGCTACGAAGTCATTTGTAACTGCGCACCACCAGCACCAGTAGGTCTTGTTAATGTGCAATATTGCTCAATTATTGTGATTATTCAGTCTCAACAATAAGGATTTTTCTGGCCTATTCAGATCTTTTAATTGCCCTGCCAACATTTTCACTGGCCACACTTCCAAAAAATGGTAGATTTTATTAGTGGCCAATAATACCAAACTACAAAAACACTTTTACTATGAAATAGTGGCATATATTGCAATGTAATACAGATTTCTCATTTTCTACCATTTCTATTGATGCTTTCAAGACTATCAGTAACTAATACTTACTGTTATTTTGACATAACTTTGTCAACCAGCTAGAGTTACCTTTAATTAATTACATTCAAATTCAGTTGTCCAGATCGAGTGTGCAAAGTGTGCAAATCTCAGAAAACCTGATGTTTACATTTGAATGTAAGATTGGAAGATACTAAAAGTGTAAAAAAAATAATAATGTAAGATCCTGTTAGATTTCCTCCACCTTGTTTTCTCGTTACAATTTGTTATGGTCGTTTTGATAGATCAGTTCGGGGCACAACAAATCCTTATCTTATCTGCAGCCATCAATCATCAGGCTTGTTTTGAGAGTGACTTTGCTCCCCTGTAATAGAAGCAGAATTCCGATAATCCTGCAGGAACCTGTCAGGGTTACCACCATCCCACCATCAGTGCCAAGTGTGGGTGAGAGACATGCAGGTCACTGGCCTTTATGTCCTCTGTCGCCTTTTGGAGAGAATGATCTAGAGCATTATCCCTCCTTTCATAGTCTATGTGAAAACAAATGTGGACTTTGACGAGGAGATGTGAGGGGTGGGCTATGATGATTAGTTTTCCATTCTGCATGCTCTCACTGTCTCTATGTAAAGACCGTTCAGAGTGATTCTGAGGCCGCCGCCTCAGTCTGTCATCCTCTTCCCACTCTTTTCACTCTAGCTGTCGACTGGTAATGAGGTTTTTCCAGTGCTTCATTGTTGTTCATTGAGAGCCACACACTTTAGATGAAGTTCTTAAACTTGTTAAAAAGCAAAAGGAAAAAAAAGACAGTGTTACGTCATTTTATTAGAATTCTGTGACTGTCTTTGTTTTTTTTAAAGGAATAGTCCACCCAAAAATGAAAATTCTCTCATCATTTACTTCACCCTTATTTTTTTTTCTTTTGGTTTTTATTGTGTTTTTAATCAAACAAAAGCAACCATGGTGAGCATAATATACTTAAATACTAAAAAACGGTAGTGTTTTTTTTTTTTTTTTTGTATTCAGTTTTTCCCTGAGGTCAACTTGTAAAATTAGTAACTAAAAACACAAAAATAGTTCTGCCTTTTTCTGACCCTTAATTTTTGTATGTTTATTTTTGGTGTTCTCCCTTTAAGAAACATTCCATTCTTTTGTGAATTGAGAAATACTGTCTGATCTACTTGCTGATCAGATCAGGTTTTTGTGATTCTGTTTTGTGATTCACAGAAAATTACACTCTTTGCAGCCTTAATCAGCATCACCTGGTGATCAGTGGGAATTTGGTTTGGAAATTATATACTATCAGTCACTTCAGTTGTCTGTGCAGTTACATAGACCAGCAGTGATCTCAATGTTACACAGCTTACCAATCAGAATGACAGGAAGGTAGCCAGATAGCCATGTCATTCCAAGAAGTTCAGCAGTTGCACAAACATTACCCACAAACAGTATAAACTACAATAACACAAGGACACAGATAGACATACAGACAGTGCCATCCACAGTACACAGAAGTCTGATGAGCTCATCTCTAAATATACAGCACAGAGAGCCAACGACGCCCAGCAGCTGTGAGCAGCCTGAGAAGGCATGAGCTTTAAAAGGAAGAGAATGCATTGTGACCCTGAGAGAGATTCAGCTGCCTGGCTTATCACTCAACCCTTTGTGACAGATAAGGTTAAATGCTGAAAGAGTGGCTCAGCCATAGGCCCACAAACGCCAAAAAGCACAATGTCCTGGGTCGAATCACAGCTCAACCGATCATTCAGTTTGCTTGACTAGTGGTTTCTATACTCAGATGTCACAAAATATAATTTATATTTTCTAAAGGGTTTGATTGAGAGTAGAAATTAGTGGAAATTGACGGTTATATTACAGACTAACAAATTAACCATTCAGACATCTCCACTTTTGGTCACGTCTGAATTGAAAGGAATTTAAAATTAACTTGGGTTTGGAAAATATTTTCCAGTAAATGGTTGTTTTGTATGACTTCTAAAGCCAAAATCATGTTAATTGGAACATGAATTTGCATTGGACCAAAAGCAATCAAGCACTATACCATAAGTCACACTGGCTGTTAAATACGGTAGGTATTTGTGTTTTATATGAGTCTTTGACCCCTTTGTTGGTTACATTTGTTCCATGTGACTTCTGTCAGAACCGGTACAGGGTGGAGTATGGTTAAGGCTTCCCCGTGGCAAATGATACATTCCAAAACCGCATTTGGTCTCTAGATGTTCCCCTTTCAATAAAAGGGGATTAGACGTTCCAAACATTCTGCCAGGGTTTTCAAAGTCCCTTTGATTGAATTATACAATTATGTTACCATGCTGCAGTTAACATCAAGCTCTGCCAAAGCTTGCATATGGGAGAACCATTAACTGAGGAGATGATGGTCTGTGCTTTTAACCTTGAGAATGTGATTGTGGCTGCCTCTGCATCTCTATACTGGTCTTTGTCAACTAAGTTGAACAGTGATTAAAAATCTCTATGCGCATATAAAATGAATGTGTGTGTGTGTGTGCACAGTGATCGAAACACACCGTTCTGTCACATCGAGAGTGCAACCCAAATTATTTCAGATCCATGTCAGATTTTCAGCACTGGGATGCTCATACCAGATGTGTGAAATGCAGATGTTTTCCACTGAAAGAACTCCCTTGTTTTCTCTACCTTTTGATGTTTCTTCACAGTTCAATTTTGTGGGAAGAATCCTGGGACCCCGGGGCCTGACAGCCAAACAACTGGAGGCAGAGACGGGCTGCAAGATCATGGTGCGAGGCAAAGCCTCCATGAGAGACAAGAAGAAGGTAAGAATTTTTTATTTACTTTATTACTTTTTTTTATTATTTTACTTTCTTTTTGGTTTATTTTTTACTATATTATTTCCTTTCATTTCCTTCTTTTATTATTTAAATTTCCCCTTTTTATTGAATATTTATTGTCTTTTCCCTTCTCTTTTGCTTTCCTTTTTTACTATTTTGTGTCTTCTCTTTCCTTTCCTTTGCTTTTTAAAATTTCTTTAATTCATTCGTTGTTTGTTTGGACTAAATGTTAATAACATGTTTTTATTGCATGTTTTTTTTTGCGAGGAAGACCATATACTGCCTTTGCGCCAGCACATAACTAATAGATGCCAAATGGAAAGAGACAAAATCCAGGCGATTCCATTTTAATGCATTTACTGCATGGCCTTCCCCACTGTAGAACTGAGGCAGATGATCTGCCTGCCTCCAAGGCTGCCTGACACAGAGGAAAAATGACTCGCATTAAAATGAAAATGAGTGCTATTAGAGAAAGGAGAATGCTCTGTTTTTCAAGCTCAAAGAATACTGTTTCACTTCCTTGTCTCGTCCTACACCATTTAGTCCAAGTTTTTAGACTGGAGTTCAATTTGGGCGTGTTGCAAATATCCAATACTCTAAACCAACAAGAACAGAACAAATAATGCTACTGAAGACTGATTTGTTTTAATGGCATCTATGCCTTGTAACGATATTTGATGTCAGACTATTTGCTTTTAATGTGGTATATAGACATTAGCAACTACGAAATACTGTCTTGAGTTCAGGCCTGTTTCCACAGACACATCAGGAGACAACTGTCTCCTTTTTGCATAATAGAAATCAATAGTTTTATCAGTTTAAGACTTTCGAGGATACGCCATCTGTGTTTATTCCTCACAGCACAACTTCCACTGCCTACACAAGCATGCAAATGAAACATTAAGAGCATACACGGTAAAATATTGGGTTAGAGGCGTTGATGAGATTCAGATTGATGGGGAATTAATGGAACACAATGAACCAAGATGCCTCAGGCAAAGCGCCATTCTCTCACTGTATTGCACAACATATGTCTACCACACCAGAGATGCTTATAAAGGCTGTTTCGTTGGTCAAGACAGAAAAACAGACTGGTGGCTCAGCATTCTTTGCCAGACGAGGTGTTGCACATCTAGGAAGCTCAGAACAGACAATTGAAATCGAAAGTTTAAACCTCAGCTATTTTCTCAAGTTTGACATTGTTTTCTGACAGCAGCCACTAGGCTTATGCTTTTCAAAATGCTCCTGTCATAATAGCATGTCAAAATTAAATCTGTGAAGAGTGCTTTTGAACATTGCGCGAAAATGAACGTTAGATTGTGAAACCATCAAGCCCTATAGTGTTCTGCAAACTTAATTTCTGTAACACTGAAACTACTGTGACAGCAGCACGAAACTTGTGCATAAATCCTGTGAAAAATTATGGCAATCAAGGAACAGAGAGAAATAAGAAAAGTTACAGCCAGGGGCAAACAAGTCAGGCGTCAAATGGAGATGCCATCTGCATCTGTTCTCTTTGCCTAAATTGAATTTACTGTCACATTTCTTGGAATAAACACACAACAGGGTTAGGTTTCTGGTCTGTGAAAGGTGTTTGCTATTAGAATTAAAGGTTAGCTTTTCCATAACATAAAATTTTAGTTTTTGTACTCATCTTCATGTCATTCCAAACCTGTATGACTTTTTTTGTCTGTGGAACACAAAAAGAGAAACTTGGCAGAATGTCCTAGCTGTTCTTTTCTGTACAATGAAAGTGGATAGGGACTAAACACTGTCAGGCTCCAAAGCAAGCAAAAAAGCAACATAAAAGTAATTTAAGTAGTGCATATGACTTGTATGCTATGTTTCAAGCCATTTGATAACTTTGTGAGAAACATGACATTTATGTTCTTCACACTGAAATTTAAGTTATTCACTGAAAATCTCATGGTCACCGTTCACTTTCATTATATAGAAAAGAACAACTTGGATGTTCTCCTATTAATAACTCCTTTCATATTCCACAGAAGGAAGACATACTGATTTCGAAACCCATGAGGCTGAGTAAATGATGACATTACTTTTTTACATCAGTTATTCCTATAGCAAACTGCTATGTTTATAATATCACATGACAAAATAGTCTGTTTACGCTGTAATTCAGATCATGCAAAAGGTTCATGCATTTGATGGTTGGAAGTGAAATAGAGATTCTGAGTTTGGAGGACGTTTGTGTACAAAATAGGTGCACATATCCTAAGAAAGCTTGCTAAAATCATCATGTACTTTTTGTAATTTATAGCTTGTGTTGGATTGGCCTTTTACGTTCACTGTTGATCTATAGCTGTTATCGTAAAATGCATCATGCAAGCAACTTTTTCACACTTTGCTGTGTTGTGCACAAAATTGCCTACCCACCAAAGTAGGCCAGACGAAGACCTCTATGCATTGTGCTGCTGCTTAGACTGTTTCAGATTCAAAATCACAGTTATTATTAGCACATAACCAGCTGTGCGCAAGACTGCAGCCTTATCGGTTGCACATATTTGATCATCTAATTACTCTATTCTGAGGAGGTGGCAGCCACTTATTAGCAAATACAACGCCACCAACTGTGATCTGAGACTGGCGTCCTCCGGTCAAGGATATGGCCAGGACTTCTATGTCTTTGTTTCTCTCATTCAAACTTTACCCTTGAGGCCAAGGCGATGTCTGTGATTGCTTGAAGCGGGAATCTCAGAAGCCGGCGAGCGAGTTCACAGTAATTGATTGTTCTGTAGGCCTGAGCTCTATGTCGTAAACATAAGCCCCGCTGTGATGAAAAACCCAGCTGGAGACAATGCATTCAATAAGGCTCAATGCTTGGGCCCGAATGCCCCATTTCTATAGCAACCGGCTCGTCACTGCTGTTGACGGTCTGAACCCTGAGATAAACTGACAGTCACTTGTCTCCAGGCTAACTGTTGCTACATGTCTGTTGGTGTCTTAGGTTTATGTCCATGTGTAGCTACAAATAAGAGTCCAGAAAAGTTTTCATGGTAACTGGGGTACCGGGTATTCATGGGAAGTTGTCTGTACGGTCAATCGATCCAAAGTCTTAAAAATGTCCCTGGAAAATACTTTTGAGAAACGTCTTGTTGGAAATGTGGCCTGGCGGGTTGTGCACGTGCTTTGACACGTCTTCCAGTGGCGCTTATGCGGGCGACCCAAGTTACAGTAATTTCCCAATCCCACCCAGCCCTCTCTCACTGTTATTTCCTGTCTCCTCTCTGACTGTCCGTCTCTTTATTTTTATCCTTTTTGTCATTTTAAAATCCTGTATAGACTCAAAAACACCTCTGGGTATTTATTTATAGTACAGTAGGGGTTGCACTAACTAGCTGTCAACTTAACTGTAATGGCCAAATATACCAGAAATTAGTTTCTGCTAAATTCAGAATTAAAGAGTTGCCTGTCTTGCAATTCATGAGTTTGAAACCGAAATTTCTGAATTGAAATTGCTAAACGAAATTACCAGAAATTAGTTTCTGCTAAATTCAGAATTAAAGAGTTGCCTCTCTTGCAATTCATGAGTTTGAAACCGAAATTTCTGAATTGAAATTGCTAAACGAAATTATCTATCTATCTATCTATCTATCGTTCTATCGTTCTATCTATCTATCTATCGTTCTATCTATCGTTCTATCGTTCTATCTATCTATCTATCGTTCTATCATTCTATCATTCTATCTATCTATCTGTTGTTCTATCGTTCTATCTATCTCTACTATTGGTTTTAATAGTACATTTTAATAATCTAAAAATGTATGAATTTCATTTAGAATTTCAATTTCAAATTGCAATTCTGCATCTTCTCTCTGATGTCTCGATTCAAATTCAGGAATTGAGTTGGTGCACAGCCCTGGTTCTCAAACAGCTCTTCTGTTTTCTGTGAACAGGAAGAGCAAAACAGAGGAAAGCCCAACTGGGAACACCTGAACGAAGACCTGCATGTCCTCATCACTGTGGAAGACTCTCAGAACCGTGCTGAGATCAAACTCAAGAGAGCCGTTGAGGAGGTCAAGAAACTCCTAGTCCCTGCGGTGAGTGATTTGTTTTCTATGTCCTCTATGTCTATTTTTTGAGACTAGATTTTTTTTTTAAATGTGTCGAGTGGCAAAATCACATCGATTCACCTCAACAAACAAGACTCATGGAAATGTTGCTAAGACACTGATAAATGTATTTAGGAGAACACGCATAATCGAAAGATCTGCGCTCAGCAGGTCTTCTGTTTCCCCGCTTGTCGCTCTGCATCCTCAGACAGGTAGATGTGAGCAGGAGGCAGAGAACAGGGTTGCTTGCCTTCATGAGTATAAGCTTGTAGCCATTGAGCACACATGACTCCAGATGTGCAAAGGTGAGCACCATAGGCAGTTTTTACTAGGCTTAATTACCTTTGCTTATAAATTAATGAGGAGCACAGGACTGAAGGGTCAAGACTCGAAAAAAACCCCGCAGGGGACCAACGGAAGTCTCAGCATTGCTCTGGGACAGAGCTGAATGCCAATTAACCTTTGGGTCTAAAGGAAGTGACAGCAGGTTAGAAGGAAGTGCCATTAGAAGCCTAGTGAGAAATGTTCTTTTTCTGTAGTGTTTTCCACCATGTTTTTTTTTCATTATAATATAGCTATGAAGCTAGACATAGAAATATAGCAATATTCTTACATCAGAGTTATCTAATCTAAGCAGAAAACATTAAAATGTCAAGAAGAACAATTTGCTTTTTAAACTAAAATGTAAGATTTAAACTAGAAAAGGATTGAAATCAAAATTGGACCTATTTGTTAATACAGTTTCCTTGTCCTGATTTTTCACCTGACATTACAAAGCCGCCACCTTTTTAAAAATTTTAATCCATCATGTAGAGACATAATTCAGTCAATTACTGTTTGATAAAATATAGTCCAGCCCTACATTTTTTTTTATTCTTGTTGAGTATCAGTAAAAAAAGTGTGTAACCCATTTTACTGGTGTTCAACAAGAATAAAGATATAGGGCTGGATTAGGCTATATATTTTCTTATTTATTGTTCCATTTCGTTCAGAAATATGTGACATGATTACAGATAGAAAATGGGTTGCGAATCAGTGTTGTTATTGTTAACAAACTAAAACTGCTACTGAAACAGTAATTAAAATGAAGCTGAAATGAAATATAGTATTGAATGAAAAAAAACTATAACTTCAAAAAAGTAGAAATGTTGCCTACTGCCGTAAGTACTAAAATTGAAAGAAATTATTAAATGTAGAAATATAAAAAAATACTAATTCTAAAGCCATATAAAGTTAAACTAATTAAAATGAAAATATAAAATAAAAAAGCTCATTTAAAATATTCATAAATACTGTAATGCATATAAATACACTATATACTAAAATTACACTGTTGCGAAAGCCGTTTTGTGCCTTGTGTGCAGTAAAGAAAAAATACTTTCTTAATTTTGGGGTATTTCTTATTGTGAACAACAGCTATTTACCGTAGAAAGCATAATAGAGTTAGTAGCGAGTGGAATTCGGGAAATTTGTGTAATTGTGGATTGTAATCCCTTCTCCTCTGTCAAAGAGAGAGGGCTTCTGGACTCCCTGTGGCGCTACCATGGTAACCCTCTTGGGGATGCACTGATCCTTGATTGACAGGTGTGCCCTTTCTCTGCAACAGGATCCTGAATGGGGAGTAAGCTCTTTAGAAAGTTTAGCACTGTTTACTCCAGGAAGCTTTCGTCTTGAAGGTAAACCCACTGCAGTTGTGTTTGTCTTCATCAAACCATCCAGGGGAAGAGTATTCAGCTTTATTTCTGGTCATTGCCTACTTGTTCAAACCTCTGAGAAATAGCTTTTTGTAATAGAATAGTGTCTGAAGAAAATGTTTTGATGTTTATTTTGAATTAGGATTTGTTCTAGTCAATGTCATGTACTGATGCCACTGAAGACTTCTTTCACCATTGTTATTTTATAAAATAATTAAGTGTAGAACAACATTCTTGTAGTGTTTGTTTTCCAGCTCAATTCCCAAAATATTCAGAAGACATCTTTTCCCCTCAGAGAATAGAATCTGTAGTCTTTGTTCTAACATTGTTTCTTTACTAAATTGAATGGTGACTAAACTAAAGCTTTGGCATCTAGCATATATTTTTTTCAGTTAACATTTTTTCTAAACCATTCATCGTGTAATGCCAGTTTATGAAAAGATCATTTGTAGCACATACAGTTTTTCTACTACTTTTCCCCACCGATTTTCCTTCTAAAAGCTAATGGGAAAGATGTGGATTTCACTAGAATAATTCACATTTTTATAATGTTGTTGTCAAATTCAACTAATCCTTCATCAAAAGTTTAGAATTATTATAAATGTTTAAATATATTTTCCCTAACACATAGTCTGACCTAGTGGCTGATATTCACAAGCTTCAGTCATTTGGCTGGCAGATCTCAGCAAAGTAAGCAGAGACACACACACATATACACACACACTGATCCCCGTTTGAAAAGCCCCGCTTTTCTCTCGCTTCTCTGCTTGCTGACATGGTTCATATTATTCTGTGGACTGTCTGCCGTGCCCCTCCCTGACCTGCTCTGAACTGTCTGGGAGCTTGACGAAAATCCAAACTTTTCAAATCTTTTCTCTCTTTTGGGCTTAAATTTTTATACTGTTGCTGTTAGCCCAGTGCATTTACGTCTGTTACATCCGCAGATAAATCACTAGGAGATATACAGTACAATGGTTTAGATCAGTGTTTGTTTGAACTTCTTGACTCCAAAGCCTCCTGTTGTCTACAATATTCAACGGCCTCATAACTTACCCAGTTGTTTATGATTTAAGAATTAATAATAATAAGCTCAAAATTACTTCATGATACTCAAAATTACTTCATGATAATTTTTTAAGCGCTTGCTTGGCATAACTAAAAAAAGGTAAATTAATTTTAAATATGTATTTTACATATTTATATTTTTAAAATATATAATTTTATATTTGTTAAGATTTTTACATGGCCTTTCCAGGTCTATAAAAATCCAAATTTTAAAAAATTAGGCTATATATATATATATATATATGAAATAGTATTAGACTACTCCACAGTCTTGAAACATACATACATACATACATACATACATACATACATACAGGTTTTTCAAGACTGTGGAGTAGTCTAATACTATTTCATGCATTCGGACTTATTTACACTGCTAAAAAGTTGGATTCTCATGTTAAACATGACCAAAGTCTCAAAAAGCGAGTTGGACGTATGAAGAAGTATTTCTGTGCCAAAGACACTCCTTCAGGGTTCATATAAGTTTCAGAAAGTTATTTTCACGTATGGCCCTGTATGACGTCATAAAGGGTGGGATTCCTTGAATGGGCACTTCTCCAGGAAGAGCGCATGCACACATCAACCAGAGCGAGAGCAAGAGCACGGCCATCAACGTGATTCATTCAGTAATTTGTTAGCCGTAGTTTAAGTTAATAAAGTTTTAGTCCCCGTTTTGTTTATGTTGACGTCACAACTTGCAGATGATCGCTATGCAAAAGCTGCACATACTCCTGACTCTTAAGCTCCGCCCACAGCACGCCTTTAGGAGCTCGACTGTTTTCAGAGAGAAGCGTAAAGCTGTTGACCGCTTTGAAGTTTGCTGAAGGCCTCTAATGGGTCCCGGTCCCCTGGTTGAGAGCCATGGGTTCATATGGACCACTTCATCATAAATTGACAAAACAGTGTCCACTTCAGAGGAAGTGAACTGCATAAGGGGAAAACGGCTTGTAGGATGAGCCGATGGAAAACAGAGAATGTTGAGAGTTGCTGCTGTTGAGAGTAATAAGATCTGTTTCTTTAACCTCCTGCTCCTTGGGCCTGGCTTGTTTAACAGTGGCAGAGTAAATCATCTGCTAGCTGTTAGCAAGTGTGAAACATTAGCTTCCCTGCACCACTGCACTGCATTCTCAAACATTTGAGCAGACAAAAATTTAAATTGAGCTTTTTAAGTAAGCTAATAAGTGTTAAATTATTCCTAACAGCTTTTTTTCCCCTGTGTGTGTGCAGGCCGAAGGTGAAGACAGCTTGAAAAAGATGCAGCTAATGGAGCTGGCCATTCTCAACGGCACTTACAGAGACGCCAATGTCAAGTCATGTAAGAATGACATTATCAAACATCGACCTGTGTTTGTGCAGTTTCTCTTCCCCTCAAATATCAATCTCATTTCTTTTTAAATTTTTGTCTTTTAAACACAACTCATCTCTTTTGGGATTTTTAGCTTTATGTTGACATCACTTGCAAGAAATTGCAGTGATATATTGACATTCATCAAACATTCTGTTTAGAGATTTGTTATAAACCAGTCTTGTAAAACCAAATTAGTTAAAAACTAGTTTTCTTCAGTTAAAGGAATAGTTCACCCAAAAATGAACATTTCGTCATCATTTACTCACCCTCATGTCATTCCAAACCTGTATGAGTTTCTTTCTTATGTTGAACATAAAAGAAGATATTTTGAAGAATGCTGGTAATCAAACAGTTGTTGGTCCCCGTTGACTAACATAGTATTTCTTTCCTTACTATGGAAGTCAATGGGGACCAACAACTGTTTGGTTCTTCAAAATATCTCCTTTTGTGTTCAACATAAGAAAGAAATGTATTAAGGTTTGGAATGTCATGAGGGTGAGTAAATGATGACAAATTTTCATATTTGGGTGAACTGTCCCTTTAATTCAACCCAAGCCACTTAACAAAAATCTTGCACTCAGTCTTTTTGTAGATAATTTCAGTTTTAGGTATGCTGTCTATTTTTGGTTTATATGAGCTTTTTTAAAAAGGTTTGAATTTTGAATCTAATAGACTATAATAGAAACCTAAACTTTTATTTTGTTGCCATGAAAGCTGTCCATGTGGATGAGTTAAAATGCACATTTCTAATTTATTTTTGTGTGAAAATATTTGCATAGCTACTAGTTTACTTTTGAAATGTAAGTCAAGGTAGATTGATTAGCCCCTCGATTTCTTTTCCCCCTCACATCTTTGTGTATTTGCTCTTGTGCATCTTGTTCTGTTTAGCAGCCTTAGCCTTCTCCCTGGCCGCCACAGCACAAGCTCCCCGCATTATCACCGGCCATTCCCCGGTGATGCCCACTGCGGCACTGCGTAACCCTGCACCTGCTGCACCCACCCTCATGCCCCTCATCCGACAGATCCAGACCTCTGCCATCATGCCCACAGGCACGCACCACCCCGCCGCAACCCTCGTACCCCAGACCCCTGAGTCAGGCATCATCTATGCACCCTACGATTACCCCTACACCCTCGCCCCAACCTCCATTCTTGAATATCCTATTGACTCAAGTGGTGTTTTAGGTAAGATATTTTATTATTTGTTTCCTACATTTTATTTTATTTTTTTACAGATTATGCATTTAACACAATTTGGTGTTAGGGCTGGGTGGTATGATAGACCTGGTGTGATACATTTAATTTAATTAATATTATTAAATAATTAAATAAAATTAATTTAATAATAGTAATAATAATGTATTTTAATTATATAATAATACATTATATATATATATATA